CACCCAGTCACATGGCTGGCAAGCCACTCCCACCCAGTCACATGGCTGGCAAGCCACTCCCACCCAGTCACGGGGCCGGCAAGCCATTCCCACAAAGCAGGCCACATCTACAGAAGAGATTCTAAAAAAATTTGAAACCCACTACTGGTTGAAGTCTACATCACCTAGAGCAGGGTCTTCAAACCTGACAACTTTAAGATTTGCTGTCTGGGGAATTCTGAGAGTTGAAGTCCACAGGTGTTAAAGTTGCCAAGTTTGGAGACCCTGACCTAGAGTGAAGAATGCAGTAGGTAACCTGGGCAATTCTTTTGGAATTGGAATGAAATGGCTTTCCCAGACTAAACCAAAATGCTAAGATCTTACTTTGCTTGAATGTTCACTTATGATGAGTGCTGTTAAAATTCTTCATATCTTGGAGTAAAATTTCTCCTTGCCATAGTCAAATGCATAACCTTAAATATAATCAAAATTACAGCAGGTTAAAGCTAAGCTCTTATATTCTTAAATCCCATCAGCCTATATGTGCATTTAGGATTTGGGGAGTCATTTGTTTATCACCTGACCAGGCATTCCATTTGCTATTTTAAGGATAGTTTCCCCAGCATGCCATTTTTCAGCACTTCACTTTTCCACTGTTTGAGTGAACTCTATATCTAAATTGGTATCATCATTACACATTCATGGAATTTGGGACATGACAGCATTTTTGATGAAGAACATTTCTCCTCCCCCCAAAAGAGTACTGTATGTCATAAGTAGGGCTAGGCCAGCAGTATTTCCATTTTCAAACATAAAGACAAAAGATTTGCATGTTTCATCCTTAGGGCTGTGAGATTAGGTTGAAAACGAACATGCTTAAGGGAAAGAAAATAGACACATATCCAGCTCTTGTAGTTTTGCTGGCTTGGCAAGAAAAACTAGAGGGTTGCATCAGACAGGTTATTCTTAAGAAGATCAGAAGAATACTTTGAGGAACAGATAAGAATCAACACCTTGCTGTAATTCATATTCTGTCATCTGGCATGAAAGTTAACCCTTAACCTTTGCTGATGTTGGTCTTGTTTTTAACACTGTGCAGTTCAATTAGAATGCACATCAAAACTGACCAGCTGTTTCAGCATCTCCTGCACAATAAGCTGATTTCATTAACTGCTGCTGGTGGGTTTCAGATTTTCTACTGTTGAAGTAGCTGTGCTGACCTTCTGCCCTCCATAAAATATGTATGTCTGTATAAGCATTGAATGTCCAGCAATACATTTTTACATAGTCATAAAAATATGTCCCCAATTAGAGTTAAGTANGCCGCGAACCGGTTGAAACCCACCCCTGGTGAGGACACTTTCTATCGTGGACTGATAAAAAGAGATCATCAGCCATTGTTCTACCTGGTTTTTTTCGCAGGACTCTAAGGAAATGAAGTCTCTGTTGGGCCTTGCCAATCACCACGGACGTGTTGTTTCTCCAAGTGAGATCTTGACTAGTAAGCACTCCCAAGAATTTAAAAGAGGAAATCCTCTCCACACAACCCCCCTCGATATACAGTGGGGCAGGTTCCTCTTTGTGCTTCCGGAAATCTAGCACCATCTCTTTTGTCTTACTAGTATTTAGATGTAAGTTGTTTTTTTGAGCACCATGCGGATACCTTCTGGATTTCTTCCCTGTATGCTGATTCGTCCCCTCCAGTTATGAGACCCAGTACCATTGTGTCATTCCATCCTTCCCAGGTCAGTAAAATAAGGATTGTTGGAGGCAATATGCTGGCTTTGTAAACTGCTTAGAGGGGCTGTAAAGCACTGTCAAGCGATATATAAGTCTAAGTGCTTTGCTATCGCTAAGTGCCATTGCTATTGCTATAGAATTATCGATAAAACCTATCCAGCCAATAACTTAGAAAGGTAAACGACAACAAAAAATTTACTTCCTTACTCTGAACGGCACTTAAGGTAGCAGCTGGCTTTAAGGCCCGACTGATTGGAGGAGAGTGACTAGCAGAAGCATCACACTTGTTGGCTATTATTTTGGGGAAAGTATTGTTCAGGTGTGGAGCAGGCGACAATGTGTTCGCATCAGCTGGCTCTGATGTAACTGAATTATTCTTAGTTTTCTGACCCCGAGCGATTTCTTGCTTTTTTAACTGATCTTCAAAGAATTGAAACTGTTCTGTTGCCAGTTGCTGCTGACGGATCTGCGCAATCCGTTTCTTTTCTGCCTCGATTAATTTCTCTTGCTCTAGTTTCTTCAGTAATTCAGCTTTGCCTTTGTTCTGGAAAATAGAATACATTAAAAGAACACGTCATCGGCTAAAACACGGTTAATCCAAATGAGAAGGGTACAATGCATTTAAACAACATGAAGCATAACAGATCTGAATATTTTAATATCCGTTGCATTTACCAAGAACTTCTCCAGATGTTGCTAACATCTGAAGAGTGATGCTGCAACATCATTCTCCAGATGTTGATAACTCCAGCAGCCAGCTCTAGCCTGGCATGGCTAAGATGAGGACTGCTAACAGCTGCACATCAGGAACATCTGGAAGACCAAAGGGTCAAGTTTCTATACTTAAAATAGATTTTAAAAGCGAAGGATCTGGATCTGGAAGATGATTAATTCTTCGGACTAGAGATTTTCTCCATCTTAATTTATTCTGATTATTGAAGTCCCAATATTAGACTGCTAGAATTCAATACCTCTCTAATGTCTGAATAATTATTTGCCACCGTCTGCCCCATTTTGCAAGTTTCATTAGGTCATATTTACTCAAATCTTTGCCAGCATGTTTAGTTTGAATTTGGGAAACAAAAACTTATACCACAAATATACAGTATAATAGACAGGAAAGGACTGCAACCTTAACTAAATCATTAGGCTCGTGTGAAATAAATCTGGAGAGTTACATTGCATTTTAGAAAGTTATTCATACAGAAAGTGCCAGAAGAAAATATATTTTGCTATTTGCACATGCATCCAGAAGAAGCTGTTTCTTGGTGCGCATTTCATACCCATTACACATTTTATTTTGTAATGTTTTAGTATTGGAAGAAGACTCCATATACAAAAGCAAATACAATCTCACCAACAATATAATGCTAGGCTACAAAAACACACATAATTACTTCTAGTAAATATCAACAACAACTCTCCCTCTCTGCAATATTTCAGCAAAGAAATATTCTTGGCATTGACTGTCTTTCTTTTCAGCACCAAGGAATTTTTTTTTTAATTTTCTCGGGCCTTTTCATTTATATCAATATCTTAATTATTCATATTTATGGTGCACAGAAACTTTTAACTGCTCTGATTGCTGCTCTTGTTTATGTTACTGTCTGTCTTAATGATTATTGAAATACTAATTTTAACTTAATGGATTGTAAATTGCAGTAGAAAAACTTAGTTCCAAAGGGTAGCACAACATTTTAAATTGTAAATAAATAATGGGGGCCATTAGGCCCCAACTTAAAACCCTAATTATTTTCATAGGTTTTAAGTAGCTTCTCTAAAGGAGAACAGTTGTCATTTTCAAACAGCGATTAAAAACACCTAAGGACACAAAAAGGCATTGAAGAAAACTGTATATCTGGTTCTTCTGTCTGGAATAGAGCAGCAAAGATTGGCAAAGGAAATCAGTGCATTTTCAACAATTGCTGACACTGGAACAAGGCAGTCTTTGCAATGAGTAGACGACAATGGATTGTATGTACTCTTATCTCTTATTTAGTTGATAACACCGCATTGCTCGGGTACTTTTTATAGGGGGAAAATGTCCGGACCAAATATAATTTCTAATGTTGGATTTTTCCCCTTACCAGAGGGAGCCCCCTTGTGGAGTACTGTAAAGCTGTTACCATGGCAACTCCACTGCACCGTACAGTAGAAGCCATTTTAAGGCACAACAGGCTGTATCTTAACAGAACACAGACATCAAGGGGCGTTAGGATTGTCTTACCCCCACAGTATTTTTTTCCCAGAGGGTAAGTCATCTGTGTACCAAGTTTGGTTGAAATTGCTCTAGGCGTTCCAGAGTTATGCTGGAACACACACACACGTGTGTGTGTGCTCTGCCTTTATTATTGTTTACAAATAACTCAAGGCAGTGAACATAGCCAACACTTGTTCCTCTTCCTATTTTCCCCACAACAACAACCTGTGAGGTGAGTTGGGCTCAGAGAGAGAGAAAAAAATGACTGGTCCAAAGTCACCCAGCTGGCTTTCATGCGCGCATATGCGCACCAGGCAGCTGCTCTTCTGGTTTCCGGTGCTCCCGTGTGCATGAAGACTAGTGGCCAGCATGCCAGAACCTGGAAGAGCAACAGGCGATGACTCACTTGCCCGGAGAGATGGCTCTGCATGCCAGTTCTGGAACTTGTGCCATAGGTTCGCCATCACAGCACTAGACAAAACTGGTTCTCTGATGCTGGCATTGTGACATTCATTATCAGCTCAATTGAGTGTCCATAGATCGGTAATGATAAGAAACCAAGATAATGACTGTACCTGCAGAATTACAGGCCTTTAGGCACATATATGATATTGTATACACATCTGAAGAGGAAGGGCTTGGATCAAATAGTTGTACTTACCATTACCATCCTTGCTCCTTCCTTCTCTGATACCCCCATGTGAAAGAAGAAAAATGTTCTTGCGAGTTAGCCTTGCGAGTTAGTCCAGACAAGAAGCACACTCAGGAATACTAGTTCCACCTTGATTGTAAGGTTATATTAACAGGTTCCACCACAAAACCGCGTTCGACTAAAGGGCGCTCGACGAAACCGCGTAGCTGAC